AGGCTGGGGAGTTCCCTTCTTGAAAGCACAGAGGTGGAAAGGGATCTTGGAGTCATTATTGACTCCAAGATGAACAGGAGCCTCCAATGCCAGACCGCAGCCAGCAAGGCCATCCAAAGATGCATCTTAAGCCTGTCCAGAGAGGTGATACTCCCCCTCTATATGACTTTGGTCAGGTCGCAGTTGGAGTACTGCGTCCAGTACTGGGCACTGCACTTCAAAAGGGATGTGGCCAGCCTGGAGAGGGTTCAGAGGAGGGCCACCCACTTGGTGAGAGGGCAGCAGGACAGGCCCTATGAGGAGAGACTGAGGGACCTGAACCTGTTCAGTCTCAGCAAAAGGAGGCTGAGGGGGGACCTGGTGTCTGCCTACAAACTCATCAGGGGAGATCAACAGCAAATAGGTAGAGCCCTTTTCTCCCGAGCACCACCTGGGGTGACAAGGAACAATGGTAATAAGCTGATGGAGAATAGGTTTAGGTTAGAGATCAGAAGGCAATATTTTACAGTTAGGGTGGCCAAAATCTGGAACCAACTTCCCAGGGGAGTGGTCTTCTCCCATACCTTGGGCAAATTCAAGAGGAGGTTGGACGATCACCGGCCTGGGGTCTTGTGAACCCAGCATTCATTCCTGCCTGTGGCAGGGGGTCAGGCTAGATGATCTGTTCAGGTCCCTCCTGACCCTAGCTACTATGAAATTGTGAAACAAGGATAGAGCCTTGGGGGACCCCACTGGTCACAGGGAACCATGACGATTGACTTCTGTCAATTACCACCCTCTGGGTCTGACTACTATGAAACTATAAACATGACAGAGCTCTGATCTGATACGTGCTAATTAGCATGCATCAGAGCAGACTCAGTTAACTGGGACTCAGGTAACTGAGTCTGCTGTGAGTATGCTGGAACATGCTAATTAGCATGCTCCAGCAGCCTGTGTGTCACATATTCAGCATCCTTGCATTTCAAAATTACAGTGGGGGCACTTTAACTAAAGCTCTTTCAACAAGCTTGTTGAACGAGCTTTAGTTAAAGCGCCCCCACAGCCATTTTGAAGTGTGGGACACTGAATACACATGACACCGTGGGCACATGACACTCTCAGAGCCACTCTAATTAAAGTACCCTCCCCCCTGCCCTGGAGCATGTGTATAGATGCCCCAAATGTCTGAAAGGTGGTTACAAAGAAGATGAGGATAAACTGTGGCTGCAACAGACAGGACAAGGAGTAATGATCTTAAATTACAGCAAGGAAAATGTAGGTTGCATTTTAGGAAGAATATTCTGAATACAGGGGTGTTTAAGCAATAGAACAGGCTACCCAGACCATCCATCAGAATTTTTAAGAGCAGGTTAGACAAACGTTTTGGTATGTTTTTGTAGTCAAGACTGATTGTGTCTTGAGCAGGGATTTGAACTAGATGACCTCCTGAGGTCCTTTCCAGGCCTACTTTTCTATGATTAGCTAATGTAAAATTCTAAGTATTCAAATACTAAATTATATAGTTCTTATAGATGGTTATAGCTATGAATTATATTGGCATAGCTGAAAATATTTAGGAAAAGGTTTACCAGCAAGAATTTTTCTAGTTATTAATCATTCTCCAAATGCAGTGTGAGCAGAACAGAACTGGATGAACTAGAACTTTTTAAAATATATGGGACCAAATCCTACTCCCATTATTTATGTGAAGTCTTGAATAAAGCAAGCTGGATCTGGCCCATTCTTTTAAAACACTGTTTTCTGTTAGTTTTAACATTGATGACTATGGCCAAAATCACTTCTGGCAGAAGTAGATGCAATTCCACTCATGCCAAAAGGATTTGTCACCAGTTACATGATTGGTAAACTTAGCCTTATATTTCTACTTGAATGAAAGACATCAGTGCAGCAAGTTAAATTCATTGCCTATTCCAAGAAATGTATACTGTACTACTTAGCTGTGCTTCCTTGAAATCTTTCTTAGTTTGATCAATCTCAAAAAAATGTTTAATCCCATAAGAGAGAAAGCAAAATACATTTGTGAATTTATATTTCAGAACTTATTATTTGGCAAGTCAATACTTGGTCTAATCTCTTCTCAAACTTTTTAAAATATATTTTCTTTCCTTTTTTTTAAACTTTTTTTAGTCACTTAAATGTTACATAAGTCTGGCAGGATACAAGCTTAAGAATGTGTTGCAGCAATGAATCATAATGTTCTAGGTGTGGCTTTACTAAGAATCATCTTATTTGAACGTTCTTCGAAAATGTCAGATAAATTCAAACGTTTGTTTTCCATGAACATGCAAAAAATAATATTTTCAAATCTGTATCTAAAGTAGGTCTTCTTTGAAGTGTCCATTATATCTAATCAAAGAAAACCATTGAACAAAGTCTTTTTGTTGAGATGGATATGATCCCTACTACTACTTGCATGAAAAATATCAGATAAATGCTATCCAGTGGGCACGTCTACACAAGACATTTACTGCTCAGTTGACTGCTTAATTGCATGATAAACACCTTGGTGTCTACACTTGCACACTTGTTAGGGATCACAAAACTAAATACAAGTGCTACTGTGGAGTTTTTCACACGTAGCAGTGCAAGTGTAGATACTGCTTTGGCTGGCTGGGGCACAGGGTGCTTCAGTGCAGGGCTAGCTGGTAGGCAGCCCCTATGCTGAAGCACCCTCGTGCCCTAGCCAGCTGCTCCACAGCACGTAGAGCCCAGTTGGAGCCATGGGCTGACCCCACAGGGCCCCTGCCAGCCCAGGCGTCTCTGACTAGGCTCCACGTGCTGCACATGAGTAAACTCTGGAGCAATATGCTCTGGAGTGTTTTGTTCCTGGATGCACCATTTGAACGTGCATCTGGGAGCAAAAAACTCCAGAGCAATAAGCTCCAAAGTATATTCATGAGCATTAATTACATGTGTAGATGTGCCCAGTATAAAATAAATGGTATAGAGTGTGATAATCCTTTCATATACAAAGACTTTTCTTCTCTGCAATTTTCTTTTTTAAACAACCCATAGAAGGCCGAAAAAGCATGCTTGGCTGTTCACTTTGAACTGTTTCTGTCTTTTATTCTGTAGAAGTGTCCCATAGGAACTTTGCTAAAAAATCTGCCATCAGTAATCCTTCATACTGAAAATTCAACATTTAACTGAATCTAGATTAAAGAGACAAAAGCATTTGTTAGATAATACTTATTTATTACATATATATTTCTATAAATTGAAAGACATACTTTACAGTATTAAGCCAATACACAGAAAGAGAGTACCTAGATTTGGAGACAGTATTTTTTAATTTTTTTTAAAACCAGGGATTATAAACTGTGCTTAGTCAAGGGCCATATATTGATACTTGTATAGAAAACCAAAGGTCATACATCATTTATAAAACAGATCAGTTCACAGCTGCCTTATCTTTTTACTGAGATGCAGTCCCTGTTAACTGCAGATGGTGGACCCAGTTCTGATGCAGAAGAAAAGTAACCTCACATTGATTCTGCTGTATGATGACTTGAAATATCACGGGTTGAACTGTAGATAAATATACTTATTGCTAACAGTGTAAGATACCATAGCCCATTTGTCATATTAGCAACAGTTTTGTACCTGATGTTACCTTATTGTTCAGTAATGATCAAACTGTTACAGAAACTTAAAGAAGACATTTATGTGGTAATAATTTTGAGGGTTCAGATCAGGAAAGCTTCGAGAATTATCCTAATAGCATGGATATAACGGCATGACTTAACCTTTATTCACACCAAGGAAAATCAAGAGTAATTCCACTAAAACCAATGGAGATAGGCATTCAGCTTTCAGAATGTCAACATGATTGTTTTTCCCTCTCTTATAAGAAGTCTGTCAAGGAGCCTGTAAATAAACGTACATACATTTCTTTATTTGATTAAAATTTCTGTGATTTGAAAAGTTTCCTGTAGAAGAAGCAGGGGCAGGTTCTCTTGTAAGAAATTAGTTGAGAAATAAGTTTTCAAATAATAGCTTATAGGAATTATCATTGCTGTTAATACTTGGTAATGAATAGAAACAGCCCACTTCAAACTAAATGATTAAATGTGATAAAGTACAATTCAAAACATCACTCTGTAAACTGACATATCGTGAGTTATATTTTGCTTAAACAATTCTTTTTCTATCCTGAAATAAATACTGTGTAACTTCAAAACATGTTTTCAAACAAAGAGTACACATCTCACAGTATTATAATCTTCCATTAGTATGTTAAACTGAAAACATAATAAACCAAATGACACATCACATAGAAATATCCTTCAAAGTATTTATACTTCCTTTAAAAATATATTACTAATTTTATAATATGGTCATATGGTTCAATCTGACATTTTAAAAACAGTAAAAACCATGTTTGTAAACAGAAGGCCTAACCTACACTTAAAAATTTTGCTGACATAGGTAAATTTGTTAGGAATGTGGAAAAAATAACTCCCCTAACTAACATACCATATTTACCCGAACACAAGATGATCCTGACGTTGATGACCCCCCCCAATAATTAGATTCTATACACAGAAAATGTATATATTTATTATAATGTTCCATACGTGGAATCTAATTATTGGAAAATCATTTTAAATTCTTCCCCCCGCACTATTGCAGGTGGTGGGGGAGAGAGGTGGTGAGGGGGGCAGGTGGTATGTCAGGCAGTAAAGGGGCAGGCAGTGGAGGGAGTAGTGGGGAACGGGAAGCAGGAAAACAGGTGCAGGGGGTAGGCAGTGTGGAGACAGTGGGGCAGGCAAAGAGGCAGGCAGGCAGATAGCCTATCCCCTGCAGCCTCATGCCCCCAATCACCCTTCCCCACCCCCCTTCTCCCTCCATGCCACCTCTGCCACCTGCAGCCTTGGGTCCCCACCCCTCCTTCTTCCTGTCTCTCTCCCTATGTCTCTACCCCCTTCCTGCCCCTCCGCCCCTGCCCCGTTTGCTCCAGGCCAGCGGGCTTCATGTCCGCTGCAGCCTGGGGCGCTGAGCATGGCTCCAGCCAGGCCCCATAACAAAGATGTGGAGCCAGCACTGCTGCTACAGGGCCAGGCTGGAGGACATGTTCTGTTCTCTGTAGTCCAGGCTTCAGCAAGAACAGAGGCTGTGGGCCGGGCTGGAACAAAGGCAAGAGGGAGTCTGGAGAGGGGAGAAAGCGGGGAAGGGGTGGGGGACAGACTGGGGGCAGCAGAGGCTTGAGGCTGTAGGGGAGGAGTGGTGGGGTCTTAGAGGCAGCAAGATGCCAGAGTTGCAGCAGCTGTCTGCCCCACCCTTCCCCACCCCTGCCTCATACTTGTTTGTAAGGCCAGGAGTTTTTTCCCCATGTTAAATGTAGGAATAAACCTTGTCTTCTAATTATGTAAATACAGTAGCTATGCTGGCAAGAGCCATTGTGTAGATGCAGTTTTACTGACAAGGAAATACTTTTGCTGGTTTAATTTGTTTTGTTTCTGGAACTGGCATAAGCTATAACAGCTAAAAAACTTATGAATGTTTAAAGTGCATCTCCACTCAGAGGATTCATTGGTGTAGATATTGTAGCAAATCCTTTCTAATTCAAACAAGGTCTTTTCTAATCATATTTATATTACCTATATACAGTGTTCAGTATGACCTGGCAAAAATACAAATCTCTAGTTTATCATTCAGGAAATATTAAACATTTGATTTACCTTTTATTTTTCACATTCTAGAACCAAAAGGCTCTTAGTTTTCTTCCCTTTTATTCACTGTGTAAAAGTGGATATTTTTCCTTTGATTTTAAAAGGAAAATATCAACTTGCCAAAGTGACAATTAAAAAAAAGTTTTAAAAGAATCACCTTGTAAAGTTTACCTCGTATATAGGATGGAAAGGAAAGAGACGTTGGCTTGGAAGCTCATTTGAATTGGGCTTTGGAGAAAGAAAACTCCATCTTCATAGATCTGGAGGTGGCAGCAGAAGGGCTTAGACTCTTTTTTGGTGCTCCATACTCCAGCCCTGCCAACACAGTTCCCTACCAAGCGTTGCAGCCATTAGCTTTTCCAGCAAAGATGGGCTCAGAGCAGAGAGATGAAAGGGAACACAATCTGATTCACTTGTACTCCATAAATGAATTCATGTGGTTTTATTTAACTCTGTTGTCCTACGACAATATTTTTAGTTAAGGTAGTGGATCCTACATAGGATATTTTTTTGGTTAAGGTAGCGGATTAGGATTCAGGGGTATCAGTCTTCAATTCCTGTCTCTATCTCAAATCTTCTTTTGTATGCTTGAGTAAATCGTGTGGTGCCTCTGTACCTCAGTCCCTTTAAAATGAAGAAGCTATTTTTGTAGATGAAGGTGGTGTTATCATGATATATTAATAATGTTTATGAAGATGCAGCTGATATCAAGACCTCTCAAGTTAAACCTAAAAGTTTTTATCAGCTTTATGAAATCAAGCATGTTGATGAGATATTTTGGGTAAAAATATGAATGGCAGAGTTTCTAGAAGAGTGTTTAAAATTTCTAGACTCTCTAGACTAAAAAATAGGAAAAATAAAACTAATCTACTAAAAAGTGCTGTTTTGCTCTGCAGTATAAACATCACTGAATTAAAATATCTAAATCACAGTCTTCAAATTCAGAAATTTTAGCAACACCTATTCTGAAGCAGTGAAGTTCACTTTTTAAGAAGTGTGTGTGGGATATCTACAACTATTATGTGGGAACACTTTGTTTCGTCTTGAAAATATCATTTTATGCTGGAATATGAATGAATACTTGACCCATGAGTACAATACTGAGTAAGAATTATCTTTTAGTATGACCCATTACAAACTGGTTACAGGGATGGGTAATGGTTTATGGCACAAAATGATTGGGTCTGATCATCATTTTTACCTTTTTAAAAGCTTGCCTGTACCCATCTGGAATATTATCAGAAACATCATGCCAAGTACCCCAAAAAATCCCATTGCGAACACCTTTGTACTTTTTGTGATAGTACTTGCCATTTAGGTTGGCTGAAAAACATGCATCAAACCACCAGCCAGAGCTGTAGTATGCACCACAGTTTCCAGATGGATACTTATCATTGTCTTTGTCTGGCGTAGTAAAGAATTTTTGATCATGGTTATAATGTTTGTTGTAGTGCAGGGCATCTCCAGCTGTGCCACTGTAGCTAGTAACACTTAGACGGTAGTTGAGATATTCGTTGGCTACATAGAACTGTTCATATTTAGCATACTCTCTGATACCATTGAAATCTTCAAGCTCAATTCTCAGCTGCATGTCCTGGCTTTTGCTCAGGAGATGAATTTTATCATTCCCTAGCCAAAACTCTCCGCTGAGGTTCCCAAAGCCATTTTTGTAGTCTTTCCATGTTCTGTTGAAGCTAGTGCTGCCATCTTGACGCCTCTGCAGCACTGTCCAACCACCTCCCATTGATTCCATATCACAGTAAACTTCAAAGCTGCTGTTTTTTGGATCAGGGATAACACTGTAGATTCCACTCTTCCTTCTACCTGCCATGTAATAATCAGCACAGTCTCTCTTCATTATTTGGATAGCTGGGGGAAACAATAAACAGCATTAGTATGGATAGTGTTTAAAACAAAATAAAATAAAAACACCAAAACACTTTTTAATAGTATTCTAGAATACGATAATGTAAAGTACATTTTGAATCCACCGTGTGACCTTCTCCACCTAGAGGTTTTCACCTACCATTTGCTCTGGTCCTGTACTTGTTACTAAATCAGAATAAGAGGAATGTTAATCTAAATAGAATGCTACATTGTATCAGTATATTGGTTTGATGTTGTCCATTTCTACCAATAAAAAGAGTTCAGTTCAGCAGAGCTGAGTGAGGGAGATGTAAAATGTATATCTCGAGGGGTGCACCGTGAAGTGGGGACTTTTCCCTCCAGAAGTCCACAGAGTCCTCGAAAGGAGGGGCAGTTTTTATTCCCGCTAGACCATTTTCATAGCAGATAAATACCTAAAGGTTCTGAAATGAATGTCAGCATCAGTTGGCTTCCCAGCCAACCTGATGATATTTATTATTTTAACCAGTTTTGCTCATTTTTTGACTGGTCTGGTCTCCTTTCTTCTTTTCACCCCCATGACATTTTTTGTTTTTTTCAGCTAAAACCTGGCTCCCCTAGTGCATTTTCTATTGTCACAATCCTTCTCTGTTGGCTGGCATATTACAGTGGAGAATTTGGCCCACTGCCTCCACATTAATGTTTAAAAGGCTTGTTAATGCCTGTATAATAACTATAATTAGAGCTTCTATTGAAAAAATTGCTCCTTTTTTGGAATAGATACAGTGTGCTCTATCGTATTCATGTCTGTAATTCAGTACCTTTCGTATAACTGTATGTCACAGGAAAAGTTTCAATCATATCAATGTTGTTGAATACAGAATACTAGGTCCTTTAAAAAATGTTCATATGTTGATGGTCAAATGTTTACAATATTCAGGAAAGAGGGGAAAAGTAATATTGTCATATCAATTAGAATTACGCTGCGATTCCTAGAAAGATGGAGCTAGAAGAGTGGCAGTGCTTTCTTGTTCGTGTTCTTCATGTGAAAGTGCTGGCTTTATAACAAGGAATGTTCAGTACTTTGTCATTAACATAACTCTTCTTCCTATGAGTAATTTATTTTACACAAATAGTATTTCACAGGTGTTTCCTGAAGATTATAAATCCATCCCATTGTCTAATTGTTTCGAAGTTTTCAGGAAACATGCTATGAATTATAGTCTTAGAATATTATTTTCCACAATAACTGATATAACAGCATATTAAACTACTTGCTCTACAAGACATAGGAAGAGTCAAAACAGATTTTTGATCATGTTATCTTCTAGTGTAAAATTGAAATGCATGGGTATGCTTGGATTAATTATTAATTATTATTTAAAAATGCAAATATTATTAGGATCATAGAAAAGTAGGGATGGAAGGAATTTCACAAGGAAATCTAGTCCAGCCTCCTGCCCAAGGCAGGATCACCCCATACTAAAGCATCCCAGCCAAGTATGTGTCCAACCTGTTCTTGAAAACTTCCAAGGATGGAGATTCCACAGTTTCTTAGGTAGCTTGTTCCATTGCTTGACCACCCTCATAGTCCTCCTGTATCCAACCTAAATTTCCCCTGCTAAAGCTTGAGGCCATTGCTGTAGTCCTGTCCCCTGCAATCATGGAGAAAATCCCATCTCTATCTCTCTCTCTGTAATCACCCTTCATGTATGTGAAAACTGTTATCAAATCCCTTCTCAGCCTTCTCTTCTCCAGATTATATAACCCTTGTTCTTTCATCTTGCCTCATAAATCTTGCCTCCCAGGCCACTAACCTTTGTTGCTCTACACTCAACTCTTTCCAAATTGTCCACATCCTTCTTGAAATGTGGGGCCACAAACTGGACACAGTACTCCAAGTGAGGCCTCACTGGTGCTGAACAGAGCAGAAGAATCACTTGCTTCATTTGCAAATGGCACTCTTTTTAATATAACCCAATATGCTGTTGGCTTTTTTTGCAACAAGAGCACACTGTAGGTACATTTTCAGTTTATGGTCTACTGTAACCCCCAGGTCTCTGCACTACTGCAGCCTAGCCAGTCATTCCCTGGTCCGTATTTGTGAATACAGCTTTTCTTTCTGACATGCAGGACTTTGCACTTGTCCTCGTTGAATCTAATCTGATTTATTGCAGACCATTTCTGCAGTTTATAATTTTTAATAATTATAACTGCTTGTTGAGAAATAGGGCTGTTATCAGAGTACAGCAAGAGAGAGGGTGTCAGAACTTTTTAATTACTGGCTCAGATGTCACCTAATTCTTAATTAAAAGATTGAAAAAAATGTGAAGATAAACAAGACAAAATTTCAAAAAGGAATAATTTTAAGATTATTTTCTCTGCAAAAGTTAGTAAA